AGAAGGGTAAAAGCTACAAAAACTCATGGGTTGAGATAAAGACAGTTTAATAGAGAAAGCAAAAGCTGCACACACAAGCAAAGCAAAACAAGGAATGAATTCACTGCTTCCCACAGACAGGAGGTGTTCAGCATCTCCAGGAGAGCAGGGCCCATCACGCGTAACGGTTCCTTGGGAAGACAAACACCATCACTCCAGATGTTCCCCCTTCCTCCTTCTTCCTCCCACCTTATATACTGAGCATGATGTGCTATGGTATGGAATATCCCTTTGGTCAGTTTGGGTCACCTGTCCCAGCTGTGTCTCCTCCCAGTCTCCCATGCATCCCCAACTCCCTTGCCAGTGTGGCAGTATGGAAAGCAGCAAAGGCCTTGGCTCTGTGTGAGCTCTGCTCAGACAAAAAAAAAACATCTCTGCATTATCCACTCTGTGTTCTGCACAAAACCCAAACATAGCCCCATACTAGCCACTGTGAAGAAAGTTTACTCCAGCTCAAACCAGCACAGTCTGTCATTGTGTTTGGCTGCTCGGGAGCTGCTGTGATGAAGTTGTGTCTGAACACATGGGGTGGTGTTACCTTGCCTGAGGAAATGGTGACCATCAGACTTAGTACATTAGTGGCTGGTATTTTTTGGAGGCTCTGGCTGCCCTGTGGGCAGGGTTTGGGCCCACACACTGTCCAGGGAGGGGCACTAGGGCTGGGAGTCTGGGCCAGGTTAGGTGACAGGGTGTGCACTGCCTCAGGTTGTGCTGGCGTGGGATTGTGACTTGTCACTGTCACTCCACCTGCCCCAGTGCATCCCAACCCGCAGCACACTGTGGGCTCTGTTGTGGTGACAGCTTCCCCAGGAAACATCTGCCTGGGCTGTGCTGTCCCTGGCAGCAGCTGAGGGTCACCAGCCAGGGGCCTGGCAGTGACTCTTCTCCCCGTGGAGCTGCTGGGGACAGTCAGATGCTCGGGCAGGACAAAACCCTCTGCTCCCCTTTGCAGAGCAGGGGGAAACAGAAATGGGATCAGATTTAGGGTTTTGGTCTGGGTTCTTTAGATGTTGTTATGGATGTAAATCCATAATAACTTAGGGCTGCCTCTCAAGTTTTGGTCTGGGTTCTTTAGTTGTTGTTATTAAATCATCTTATGAAGCAGTTTTAAAATGTAAGTGGCAGAAGCCTCTAGACAGGCATTCTGCCTTTTCTGTGTTCATGTGAAATAAGTGCTTTTTAGGTACTGGTGTGTAAGAAAAGGATAATTAAAATCATAACAATAGCTTAACAGTCTTGATTGAGGACATAACACGAAAAATTACACGTAGCAGGCTGATCTTAATAGTCAGCATGATGGGAATTTGCTGGGAGACTTCTGTTTGATAACATTTCATCTAACATTTGGCAGTAACATGTACCACCCCTACCAGTGGATTGTGAAACGTGTAAATACATCTGTTGTAAAGCACAGTCTAGAAAACTCCAGCTCATTTATCACTCCTGCTCACTTTCCATGAGCTGTCTGGTGATTTACAAAGGAAATGTCTGGCTACTATCTTAGGGATAGAGCAGTGCAAAGTATTACTGAAATATTACTCATTCAGGGCATTATCATTTTGAGGATATATTTTTGTGGGTATAAAAATAACTTAGGGCTGCCTCTCAAGTTAATGTGATACACAGAAAATGTGTCATAGCTGAGGACTAAATGAAACTAGACTGCAAAAAGGTTGGTGTGTATTTTGTTCCATTTTGGGATGGTTTTATTTTTAACCCCATAGCTCTAACAGCTCCCACCTTCAGAGTTTGACATTTGATTGCTTTTCTCTTCCTTTTGGAAAAGGATGTTCTCCAGGAACTTTTGTTTGGCCATTTTCAGGAGTCTTCATTAGAGACAAAGAGGACTAAATGAAACTAGACTGCAAAAAGGTTGGTGTGTATTTTGTTCCATTTTGGGATGGTTTTATTTTTAACCCCATAGCTCTAACAGCTCCCACCTTCAGAGTTTGACATTTGATTGCTTTTCTCTTCCTTTTGGAAAAGGATGTTCTCCAGGAACTTTTGTTTGGCCATTTTCAGGAGTCTTCATTAGAGACAAATGATAAGGGGAAGAAAGCTCTGCCCGGGAGCGGAGTGCTTGCTGAGTGAACAAAGGGGAGAGATAATCAAGACAGGGGAAGTATGCCCTAAAGGGCCATTACTGCCGGCTGAGGAAGGGGATGGTGACAATGATTTTTTTAGGACTAATTGTAATAATATTGACCACCCATCTCTGGAAGGAATGTATAAAAACCATGAAGTTTTGTCCCTGGTTGCACAAGTTTGGTGGAGCAATGCCCCTTGTGCCCAGTGCTGAATAAACAAATCCCTGCTCCTCAGAGATACAAGGCTGGGAGTAGTTTCTTTTACAGCTTTTCTCAGCATCACAAACCAATATGACCAGTCTTTGCTGTTGAGGTTTCCTGACAAAACTTCCTGACCTGTAAAAGCATTGAGGACAAATGTTTAACTGGAGAGTGGCAGAAAGGTGGATTGGCATTTGAAAATGAATGATTGAATAGTTTTCTGTGGAAGAATATTGCCTTCTCCAAAGGCTCCTGGAAAAATCCATCTGTCCTCTGGCTACCAATTCTGCCATAGAGATGAGCTTGAATCCAATAAGAGACATTAGAAATGAAAATGCTTTGAAGAAGATTCTCAGAGGAGCCTTAACCGTGGGGCATCTTTAAAATGTTTTATGTTGAACAGCTGAATATATCATCACATGCATGAGAGGTTTGGTCTCTGTATGAAAGGCATGTCCCCAGCACAGCCCTTCAGCCTGCTTCAGTCACTCTGCAGCTGCATTTGTTTTCACATATTGCTTTGTGCAAGCATCTGTTCAGACATTAATGCAGACACCTGGGTTTCTTTCCAAGCTGCATTACAGTACAAATGCTGATTTCTTCACTCCTGTGTCCGTTGCAATAGCTGTCTGTGTGTCAGAGCTGAAAAGCATCTTTGCAGCCACAGGAGACAGAGTGGTATCTGCAGAGCTGTTCCCTGTGCTGCTCAAGGCTGGTTGCTGCAGGACTGGTACCTTGTGTGACAGCTCGAGTCGAGGGCTCTGTGTTCAGTGCCTGTGGGAGCAGCCAGGGAAAGCTCTGTGTCTGATTTAATAGGCCTCCACCAGCTGTGGAAAAACCAGAATGTCACTGTTCTGGAAGCCAGGTAAGCTTCCTCAGACAGTGGTCATTTCTGAGCACTTTCTGCAGGAGCACAGAGTTTGAATTGAGAAGAATATACTGATTACAGAATGTTGTAATTGCAGAGAGACTTTCCATTTTAGACTGTTTAGAGTGGCAGTACTACAGGACGTAGTTATGGGATGCCCATTTGTCTCTCATGGAGTCTGCTAGGTGATGCCTAGTTGCTGTCAAATGATAAATTGTTATGTGGACATAGTGTGGTGCTGTTGAACCATGAGGGTTTGCCTGTGTCCGTGAGATCATTCCAGTTTGGCTGTGATCCCTTCTAGTGTCCTGTCTCTGCTTTGGGGCTGCAGCCAAAGGCCATGCAGTCTGAGGAAGGATTCTAGTTTCGCTGGCCTTTGTTTTGGGACAAGGACTGCTCTGCCTCCTCTGTACAGGCTGCTTAAATGAATTTACCAATGGACCGAAGAGAGAAGTGACTCAGTTTTCTTCAGTGCATTAGATTGTTGCTGGCACAAGGCAGGTCAGGATCTAGATTCTGACTGCTGCTGTGGAGTGTATTGCTGTGTTAGCAGCTGGTGTTTGAGGAGGGTAATTTTCATCTCAAATTTACATCCATAAATCCCAGTAAAGTCAAGTCTTTTCTCAAGTAGGCCATTAGAACCACTTTAGTATGTGAAACTAAGAAGGATTTAACTAACAGACAGTAACAACACCCATAGATCCTTTAAAATGGAAATCCAGCTTGGGAATTATTCATCATGAGATGAGTGAAGTCATACAGTAAATTAGCTGCTGGTGAGATATCTTGCTGCTTTGCAGCTCTTTGTTTATGCATTCAAGTGTTTAAAAGATGAGATGATTTGTGGATGGTGCATGCTTAAAGTGCTGTTCTCTAGTAGAAAGCTGATTGTGTGGTAAGATTGCATTTCAGTGCCAACAGTAGTTTGAACAGAATTAGTATTCAGCGAATATTTGTTGAGCTTT